GGATATTACACCACAATAATATGCACAGAGGAATGAGATATATAAGATGTTTTTTGAAAATGTATTCCTAAATTTGATTTCCAATTCCTAAATTTGATCGCAAATTAAGAAAAAACATTTTTCCCTCTCCCCTTCTTCAAATAATTCTTATGAGAAGGATTCGAGAGTCTACAGAATCTTTTAGGCTTCAAGTTAATTATTAAAATTCGAGCTCATCTCTAATCAGTTTAGCAGAACCAAAACTATAAATACAGACTATTCCAAACATAATTAAATGTTGACCTATCATTAATAAACACAGCACTTCTCATCAAATAAAATTTCTAATCCAGAATAAAATTCAGATTTAGAAGGAGAAGTGTAAAAATAAAACAAACCATTTTGCAGCATCCTAACTTGGCAAATAAATACTTTTAGATATCGCGACATCATCATAATAATAAATTGCCGGTATTTTCAGCGTACCTTATACAAAATAAAATTAAAGACAAAACTGAAGTGCAAAAACGAAATTTTCGTACCCAGACAAACATTTAAATTTTTAATAAGAAAGAGATTCATGAGAGGTAAAAAAAAACTAAGTATTTTATTTTCCCTTCATTATGCAACTAACATCAGAGACATTTAACTATTAAAACAACGACCAGATTGAAGATTACAGTATTTTGAAAATGCACACACATACATACATGCCCACAAATACGTATATATAATATACATACCTGTATATTATATATACGTATGTATATATAATATACAGGTATACTGTATAGAAATACATATATTCATATACAGGTATGCATGCATATATACAGAACATATATGAATTTTAGTCAGATATCTGTATGCTTCATATATTTTGATTATTGTTGACAAGTTAAAAATTTAGAAGTCATATACTATTCCTAACTCAAAATATTTGAAAATTTACTTATTTTTATATGCAAAACAGTCTGTGGAAAGGATTTTCTCCAATGCATTGACGAAAGTCTTTTGTGGCCAGAGGTTTATATTATGTTTTCATAACTAAATCTCTCAATTATGGAGCATTTTGGCATTTAATATATTATAAAATATGCTAGTTATCAAATATTATTTCTTCATTTTTTTGCTATAGTTTAAGATTTCATTTTTTTTTCATCAGTTTTTTATTCTGTTTTAAAGAGAATCCTAGTCTCCTTTTCATTTCCCCCCTTTCCTTCTATTTTTTTTTATTCTCACTTACTTCTTGTGTTTAATAGCACTAGAAAGCTAAAATTTCAGAATCTGTTTTTATGGTTAAATTACTTTTAGGTAATATATTTTGTATAATTGCCATTGTTTTGAAGGATTCGGAAAGGAATTTATTTTATTGCATGAGGCAATTTCTGTTACTAGCTTTCAGCAAGAAATCGCTAGAGATGCCGATGAAAATAGTAATTTTCCTTTCCAAATTGTCAGAAAATGATCATATTAGTGTAGTAACTATAACTTTTATTTGCTATATTAACATGCGTTATATACGGTATTGGTTAGTGATTTTTTTTCTTGTCACAAGTATGGAGCCGACATTTCTCTGTGAATGAAAACTTCCGTATGAGGTAGTTTGATTACTTTCTTTTATATTGTCAATAAGATCCAGTGAACGTTATTTTTTACTTAAAGCCAGCTTTATAGAAAAAAGCCTTGAATTTTCCAATTCAAATCTTATTAAAAAGAAAAGAAGATATTAATAATTGTTTTATGTCTCTTAGTATGATGATCACCATGGTTCTAGATGAATTTGGTTTTCTGCGCAAGTGGTCATCTTATAGAGATGATAATACAGATCTTATTTATGCTCGCAGAGATACTGGTCACTCTCAGAGATGGTCGTTTTAGGGAGATGTTCACGCCATGCTGGTTAACTGTATAATGGTTTTTTAAGTCTGGTTTCTTTGAAACATGAATATATTTTCAAAGGCTCCACAAAGGAGAAAAAATTCAGCAATGTTGAACTCACTTATAATTCTAGTGGTTTTTAAAACGCCCTGAAAAGTTAATTTCATTGATTTGTAAAATTACATTACTGACTAAACTGCTGTCATAAGAGAATGATTTTTAATTACATGTTATCCTATCAGATTGAAACATTCTCATGTAGTTTTCTAATCCATGACTTCCATTAATAATGAAATGATGAAACATTTCTCTTTATCTAGTGAAAAAACATCAAACCTTCGAAGACTGGCGATTTAATAAATGACCAGTGGGGCGGGGAGAGATAAAATTAAATTTTATATAGACAATTTTATTTAAAGTTAGCATCTATTAGGTGCTGTGTGAGTGAATAAATAACTGCTTTCAAAGCGTAAAAATTCGGGCTGATTAAGAGACTGACCTAGAAAACCACTGAGCATTAGGAAGAATGGGCGAAATGAATAATGATAAAAATAACATCTGTTTCGTTAGCTTTTGAAACATCGGAACAATAAAAAATGCAAATATCACTAAGCAAATAGTATACATTTTTTTCAACATTAACCACACGCTCAAGCAGATCTATTTATTTTAAATTTTATGCAGATTTAGGTTAGATACTAAATTTTTGGATTTTTATGACTTCTTAAATGATGTGATTAAACGCTTGTGCTTCAGTAAATATTAGCTTCTTGTGGGTGGGGGAAGTAGTTCTTTTGTAAGCCATATAAGTACACAATACGGTTTTCTTTCAGAGGCCTTTTATCAAACATGTAGCTTTTGATTCTTGCACTGAAGCACAATTTACGCGCACTGTTTAAAAAAAAAATGGTTCTTTTTTCTAAGATTCGAAATAAGATAGCTTTTCAACTATATTTAATTAATAATTTTTATCACTAAAGCAGAGTTCTAGGTTCAAAATTTTGCACTAAACTGTGTAGACTTTAACTGTGAAGTTCTATGTAAAACAATTATTTTGGCAGAATAAAAAAGTACAGTAGTAAATCGTAAACCATTATATTTATTTTTTATATAAATGTAAATAAAAGTAAGATATTACTTTGTATGCTTTACTGATGTTAATTAACCAGGTATTTTACGTTCTGAATCTGTACGGTCACTTCTCTGTTCCAGTTTTCCTGCCAGACTGCAAATTAGCTCACGCATATTTAAGTGAGGATTTCAGATTGTTTAGGCAGAGCGTGTTCTGCCTACTGTAGGCCACTTTACCAGTTGTTATTCTAAGATAAGAGTTCCTGTCTTCGGCGTTGCTTTATTCATGACGATAGTACTTTTACGGCAGTATAAGCTTAACAGCCAACTTTCGTGTTTAAATTTCTCTGTATAACCTTGGGCTAATGGATATTTAGATGCCGCCCAGACGGGATAGTGGTTTGGAGAGCCGGACTGCGATACCACAGGGTCCGAGTTCAAATCCCGGAGAAGGCACGGTTGTAACTGTCCATCTCTTCATAGGAGGCAAAGGTTGGCCCACCTATTAGATGCCTCCATAATAAAGTGACCACCACTTCTGGCCCTTTAGCCACAATTAATATTATGAATTAGAACTGGTTTCTGAATAGAATTAGATACTGAAAAAAAAATTAATTTAGTTTTAATTTTAAAATTCTACTTCTACTCGTCATAACTGCTGGATAAATTGTAAGCACAAACTCCGCCTTATGTTAAATTTACTTAGTTTTAAATGAAAGGACTTTTTATACCGTTAAGTTTCTGTTTTATCTTAGACACAGCGATGAGTAACACTCATAAGCAAAATCTACAACAGCAACCGTTTACTTGCAGCTATTTTCTGTAACAGCCACCATCTACATGTGAAGATTAAATTACATTCCTCTTGTAGAAAAAATCAGTAATTGTCAATAAATCTTTCACATTTTTTAGTATGCACAAAATTCATTCATTACCTTTAACTGCCCATAGCTGTGCGAGGTTTATGCAATTCACGTAAAATGGTCGACGCTCAGCTAATATCTGTTATCTTTTAATACAGAGTGTTTTAGCGTTTCATTTATTTAATTTGCATACTTCTGAAATGAAGAATAGGTTTCCGAAAAAATAGAAGTATAGAGAAATTTAAATGATTGATCAGTTAACTTCAAAATCAAATCATACACAATTATTGTTATCTCAAAATTAATAATTTAAATATGTTAATATTTTTTGAAGATTCTTGTCAATTTTATACTGCATGAAACTGAAAAAGAACTTTTATTATTTAGTTTTAAACTTGCATTTTTCTTGTAATGGTAATAATTCTCCGAAGCGTAGAATCGGAAATTTAATCCTAATTTTGTTTATTTATTTATTGGTGCGTTTGATAGTCCAAATTTTTGAATTTGAAAAACTCAGTTGTGTGAGTTGCAAACTTTTGAGTTTATCATTTAAAAAAGGTATGATTTATTTTGGGTATCATTTCTGCTTCATTTGGAATATCTAATTCTCTAGATGTTTTAGAAAGAAGTAGTAGGATAGTAATAACTGGTAAAGTAATTTTCTTTCCCAAGAACAGCTGCAGTTCTTTGGCCATTTTATGTAACATATGCTGTGCTTTTATATTGTGAATACATAAAAATAAATTTGACCCATAAAGATAGATAAATAACTTATATAAAAAAAGCTGTATTACAAATCGGTTTAGGGGGCCTGGAGTGCTATCACAATTTAAAAGTATAATGGATGCTATGACTAGAGTGCTATCAACAGTATCAGAGTTAAAAATGTTATTAATTAGAAAGAAACACAGTTCCTGATAGGGGATAAGATATTAAATAAAAAGAAGGTATTATATAAGATAATTATAATATAAGCAATAACAGAGGATTATGTCCTCGATCTTTCAGTTTTTAAATGTCTGTTCCGGATCCATGGCTTGCAAGTACTTCTTTCTTGAGATTTTCTCAGTTATTGTTTCGATTTTCTATCCTGGCTATATATAGGAGTTGCTTTATCTAATATTACCCAAGGACTGAGATTAATTAGTTTGCTTAATATAGCCTTAGGGCTAAATATTGTCACAAAATAGAAACAGAATGACTTACAAATACGTAATTCTGTAGATAATAAGATCTTTAATAATCAGCTGTCGCAGAACCATGCTTTTGTTTGATGAGGAGATAATCTAAATAAAACAAGTACTTCTTTCTTGAGGTTTTCTCAGTTATTTTTTTTCGATTTCTATCCTGACTGCATGGGAGTTCCTTTGTCGAATATTACCTAAGGGCTGACAATGGTTAGTTGTTTAATACTATAACCGATGTCTAAATATTATTACAATAATAGAAACAGAATAACTTACAAATACGTAATTTTGTAGATGCTAAGAACAATCTCTAATAATCAGTTATCATAGGACCATGTTTTTGTTTAGTTACAGCATCAGTCAATTTTTTTTATTTTCCAATATGCAGCAATGAGAAAGCATTCGTGGGAACACAATGCTCTACTGACATCTCTCAAAAGTGTACTAACACTGCCGCACTCTACGCTGAGAAATCTCTAATATCATTCTAATAATTGAAAGATTTTTAATTATTTTGATACTTAGTGATCCGACCGGCTTCAACAGAAGCCTTAGAATCTAAAAAGATTGATTACTGTATAATTAAGTTAATGTTTGAAAATGAGCAATTCCAAAATGATAGAATCATATTCTTTTGGTTACTGAGGACACGTTATGATCCAATGATCTTTCATATTAGCCTTAGAATTTGAAAGAATTAAAACACTGCTAAACTGATGTCCGCGGAAAGCCATTTACTCGATCACAGAAACAGGTTTTATATCACTATCAAACACTATGTCCAATCTGCCTACAGCATATAAAAATATAAATCAATATAAACTGATACTTTTCATGAATGCCTAACCATTCAACCATCTACAATTCAGAATAGATTAACACGTCTTTTGATCTTTTTGTTTGATGCTTGAACAAAGTATTAAATAAAAAGAGTATATTATATATATATTAAGTTCTTCTATGGAAGTTTTGAGACATCTTTTGTAACCTCTATTGATATTTAATCTTCTGATGTTAAGAGAACGTTCCTTATTTTGAATTCAGATATCTTTCAGTTTGCAAATGATTAACTTGATAGTCTCATTTCTCGAAAATATTCGTTTTGTGTACGAGACAAAACATTTAACACAGAGATAATGTATCTTTGAAGCTATATTTACTTAAACAAAATGGGTGGGAAGAACATTAAACAATTGCCCATGATTAGTTGTACCACCACAATGGAATAGATATCAATAAATAAACTATGACAGAGCTAATTAACGTTATGAACTATTTTAAGAAGCTTACTTTTAATAAGTCAAAGATTAATTAGTTTGAGTTTAAGAATTTAAGTGCATTAATTAGACAGAAAGTTTTCCTTTTCTTAATCAGGCGCAGATTACTCAGGCAATCTGCAATCGATCTACATGCCATTAGATGAAAAATTGCAGTCTTATTTCTAATTAGGAATTCTAGTAAAACTAGTTTAAGTCTTTTCACATATGCATAACTTAAGATACTTTTATTCACATTTTATTAGAGGCTTTTATACTAAATGCATTACTGTATTGTATATTTCCTAGAAACATAAAAAATATCGCATATTTTATGAACAGGCATGCAGAATATTAATGCGAATAGACGTTTAATATGTAAAGAAACTGAGTTTTGCTGAAATTGTAAAATCTAAATGTCCCAAATGAATGGCAAATTTAGAAAAACAGAACAAAAAAATCTCACATTTCCGAAACTTTGAATAATAATTTCTTTTGGCGCGATTCATTCGTTTGTCGAAATTCGAGTTACGCTGCGCCTTGAATGATTTTCATTTCCAGAGAGCAAATTCTTTACTTTTTTAATTCGTTCGAAAGAACGATTGTTTTAAATTTCCATTTAATTTCCTTATTTCTGTGCTGTTCTTTAAGAAAACGAGCAACAGAGGAGAAGCAAAAGAGAAAGAACTTACGCCACTATTTCTCCAAGCAATCATATTTCGGCAATGGGAAATACATTAGCATAAATTACAAGAAATAACGAGCTACTGAATCTGAAAGCAGAATCAGTCCTAATTGCATGGGAGTTCTCTCAGAAATAAGTGTTGTTGTTCTTCATTTCTGAAGAGAAATTAATGATGCACCTGCATCTACAGGTAGCGGTAAAAAAAAAAAATGGTCTGCAGATAGGCAAACTGCTGTGCCCTTTCCTTCCTAGAAAAGAGGACGTTTGAACTTTTAAATGTTGTTGGGTCAAAAAAGAAGTAAAATACGTATGTTTGTCTCTTATGTTTCAAAAACTAAATCATTAGTGGCAGTCGAAATAGTTACCGATATTTACTGAGAAATAATCGCTACGAATTTAAATACATAACTTAAATTTTCACTAAAATATTTGTCATTGAAAAACATTTGGCACAGAACATTTAATTCCTCACATCTCATGAATCTTGAAAATGATTTGACATTCGAAAACTTAAATGTCTGCTTTTTTCGTCAATTCAAACTTAGATTAAAAAAGTCATCAATCGTTTTAACTCAAAACGTTGGAAAGGCTAGTTTTACTTGACGCTCCTGGAAACATTAAAAGTATCGCAGCTGTTGCAAATTCAGTGGAAATGGATCACCATATCATCATCAGGGTGATACTATTGATATTCTGGAGAGAATTCAGCATTCCATGTTTATTATGTAGCTGTATACACTCTTGAAATCACCTTCTTTTCTCTACACTACCTTTGATCTAAGCATATTTAAAGAAACGTAAAATATATAAATTGTTACACAAATATTCTTTACGAAATTATATTGAAGAAATGCATTTCAAGTTTCAAGAATTTTAATTATATGCTTCTTTCATTGTGTCATTTTAATAAACAGGCGTATTTTTAAAAACTGTATTCTTAAATTTGTTTCACAATAAGCTCAGATTTAAAATTTTGCTTTTGCTTTAATTAAATACATTTAACAGTAAGTAAAAGTTTCTTTCTTCTTTCTAATATTATTCACGCATGAAACATTTGAGAAGAGTTCGAATTCGAGAAAACTCTGTAAAAAATACACATATTGTTACCTGCGTATGGGTTCATATAACAGACACTGAATGCCTTGAATAGCTTGATAAAATTTATTTTACCAAAAGAAACACTTCACTGTACACATAGAACTACTAAGAACGCAGGGCTTAATTTCTAAAATTAGAAGTACCGGAGCCCTATAGAAGACCGTCAGCAAAGAGGAACAAAAGTAAATAAATAAATAAATAAATAAAATGACTATTAAAATTCTTAATAATTTAAAAATTAAATAATTAGCATCAAAGTAATTGTTAATTATTGATCAATATTAATAATTAAATTAGCGATTATAATTTAATAAATAAAAAAAATAATTATTATTTATTTAAATAATTAAAGATTTAAGTAATTAATAATTAAAAAAATGCAAAGATAAACTAAAATTTAACAAGCGATTTTTAATATAATTTAATTCCACAAAATAAAATTTTCGAGACCAAATTTCTACTGAAATTCGTATTCAGTTACATAAACGAAGTGCCGCCTTCTTATTTAGGGCTCCGGTGGATTCCGGCGCACTTTAAGCTCTGGTTAAACTCAACGCAATGCGAAGCGCATCTAAAGAGCGAAGTTAAACCGGAGATATCGCAATACTTCGAACTCACTCTGAATTAAACGACTGCAACTCCGGAAAACGCGTAATGGCAAACCGCACATTGAGTTGATCAATGTTAAACGAATTTCCCTTACTGCGCATGTCCAAAAGAGAATTTGGCGCAGTTACGACTTTGGCGCAATTTTAAAAGAAGATAATTATTGATTGCAAAACTATCCAAATTTCTTTTAAAAAAGGTACAAAACAGGAACATTACAAGAGATTAGCTGATATACTTCTGAGGAATAAAAACAAGAGATTTACCATACGTTCCATTCGTATATACTACAACTCAGGATAATCTATTTAAATTACTGAATAAAGGTCAAATATATTATTGCAAGTTAAAGAAATAGACTGTGCAATTGTAAAACCTTCGATAAGACCTACATAAGAACAGGCTTTGTAGGGTTGCTTATGCTTGTCGCCAGTATTTTCTCCCACACTCCCACACCATTGAGCATGCGCAGTAAGCGAAATTCGTTAACATTGATCAACTCAATGTGCGGTTTGCCATTAAGCCTCCGAAACTGATGCTCTCTCTGGTCTCATAGTTTTCACCGGTTACCGATAAATCTCTAGTACTTCTCGATATTACGGGAAGGCACATGAGGGCCGTATACGGTTACAGCTGCATATAGCATCAATTATAATTATTGACTTACATTACCCAGTCAGTTTTACAGAATCGCCAAAGTCGACTTCACTTTTTATGATTTATCGCCAAGTTTGGGAACAAAAATTAGTCAGCAAAACTGTTGCCAGCTGCACAAATTGGGCCAAACGGATGTCAGAAGCAAAAAATTCTGTGACTTATCCTTAATTTGAGCCAACCAGACTACTAAATATATGCAATCAAGAGCAATTTTTTAAATTAAAATGTGAAACTATTTTGTGGCAAAATATCTACAATTCTTACTTAGCACAATAACTTTCTTGCACATTCATTATAAATTCAGGAAACAGATAATTGTATTCACTTTAGAAAGTAAATGGCTTTTAGAAGCGAGTGGATAAGATTTCTTGCATGTTTTTGTCGGTGTATGAAAGAGTATTGCTGGCAGATGTTTTCGCAAGAGAGTTTGGCTTTAGTGTAACCTAAAGTTATTTGTTTTGCGTTGTAGTGTATGAATGATTCTAACTGCTCTACGAGCATATGTTGCTCGCTTTTTGTAAGTACATAGGACTTAAGCAATGCGTGTGCTAGTATTCAATAATGTGTTTTGTTAAATAAAATGTTATTGTTAATATTACAGTCACTTATGAAGTCAAGTATCATTAAATAAGTTCGAGCTATCTTCGGCAGAACAGTTTGGTCTCACGTTGCGGAGAGAAGAAAATGGCTACTAATATTGTTCATTGAATCGCCAACGCGGGTAGTGAAAACGAAACTCGGAGCTTGAAAAATTCCTTTGAAGTATAAATGGAGGAGAATAAACTCAAAGATTTATTGAAGAATAAATTGGATTTTGTTGGAATAAATCTCGGGTTAAAAAACTAGTGGAATTACCAA